AGGGAGGGAGGGAGGGAGGGAGGGAGGGAGGGGGAGGGGGAAGGGAGGGAAGGGAAGGATGGAGGGAGAGAGGGAGAGAGGGAGAGAGAGAGAGAAAGAGAGAGGCGGGGGGGAAGCAATACTCTCATGGTTTTTGATTAGGACTTTCCGTTATATGTTGTTCCTCTGGATGTCTCAGCTGATCATTTTAATGCGCAGTTCGTTGAAAATGAGGAACATCTGAACCACATTCATCTATTTTCCATTACAATATATTTGTATACCATCTCTAAAAGGTTCCTTACTGCAAGTTTTTACTTATATTATTCTCTAGAAGAAAAATATTCCAAATCATCACCTGGGCTGATTCTAAGGGAGCTGCTCAGAGAAGCAAAATAATGTGGGCTTAAATTGCACAAGGAGTTTTCAATGCTTTGGAACTATAATTAATTTTGGTTGGCTTTATACAGTGCATTGCACTCACAGAATTACGTTGGACACTTCTAAAGTCACACTCTCCTGTGCCGCACCCTTCTAAACCTGTGATTGTTCTAGCAAACATTGGGTCTGACTGTCCTGCACATCTTTTAGTAATAGTCTTTCTTTTTTTTAGTAGTAGTCTTTCTTTTACAAATCATTCTATTAGTTTGTACCATTTTGTAAGCTATGATTTTTTAAATAAGTACTTTTGTGAATCTTTTGATAAATTTCATGAAATATGAATTGTAAACTCAAGTACAAGTTTTAACATCAAAGTAACTCTTGTTTATAGACTGACAACCAATTTTAGGTGTTAAGGTTTAAGATTTGTAGTATTAATAACTAAATGATTCATAGTTAGAAAATCCTTCAGTTTGCTTCCTAGGTAACTCTTCTTGTGGACACTTCTCAACTAAGTTTGTAAAAATCCATCTTATCTGTTGAGATTGGTGGTAATTGTAAATTATAAGGTCACAGATACAGTTGACAATATTTATAACTTGATATTTATGATCCATCTTTTGAATTATTTTAAGAATAACGTGTTTTAATTAGTACTTACATTTTCTTCACCCAATTATTTACAGTTTTTTTCATGTTCTCAATGTTAAATCTCAACTAGTTTTCTTACATCTAAAATTCATGTAACTGGTAAAGTAAGCCATCATATGGATGAAAGTGTCTGCATGACTTTATAAAACAATCCGAATTATAGATTTCAGCCTAGAAAACACTTTCTGTAATATAATTATTATCCAATATGTCTATGGGATACAAGAACATTTTTGTTCTACATTACTTTCGGCCATATCATTTCAAAATTTCCCTTATATCTTAAGAACACCTAAGAACTATTGCCAAATTATAAATAAAATCTTACCAGTATGATTATTTTATAATGTTTTTAACCTAAAATAAACCACAATTATTTTTCTCATTTCAACTGCGCATTGTAATGGGAGTAAGATATTTTACCTTGTATAAACTGATAATCAACATTTGTTGTCCAGGACTAGTGACTTGGTGCTATTATAATAGCCAATCATTTCTACTAGAACTTCCTCAGCTAAGGAAACCCAAAGAGATTAAATGTTAACAAAATGATAGGATTGTCATTTTATAATACTACTTGGAAAAGTAAGAATGTTTTTAATGACAACTTCTTTTATAGATTTATTTATAATTGTGTGTTTGTGCATGCAAATGTGCAAACACACACATGTACACACATGTTTGTAAGTATGAATGCCCGACTGACAACATTTGATTTAACACATGTGGATGATATTTATAAAGAAGACATGCTTCTTTTTGGATAGCTATGAATCTCAATACTAAGCAAAATATAAGATTCCATATTTTCCTTTTAATTGTATATTCTCAATTTAAATATATGGGATTAGACAGAAATTCAGTGTGTTATAAATGCTTAATCTGTTTGAGGGCTGGGCTCTTGTATTACCAATACAAGAGTCTGAAAGCAGTATTCTACAGCATCTCCTGTCTCTCTCCCATCTAGATCGGGGCACTGTGCAGAAGGTTGTAGTCCTTCCTACCAACAGCTCTGCCAGCGGGGAGCTCATTCTTGAGGAGCTGGAAGTCTTTAAGGTTTGGTCACTTCTTCTGTCCATCTCATCACATGAATGATGACATCATTCCTTTACTCTAGCCAGTAAAAATAGGCAATAAAAGATTAAATAAGCAAATGTAATAAATTTTAAGAGTAGGAAAGCATCAGATAAAAGAAGAAATAGAGAACAAATATTTTCATGAAATATTTTATACTTCAAGTTATCTCAACATAAAAGGATCCCATTTTTTACCAGCTATCATCACAACTCAAAGAGATTTGGTCATCATTATTTTTAAAAAATGTGCCCCTCTGGCCAAGGTCTAGGGAAGTCTGTAATGACGGAGGCTTTATCATTCCCTTCACATGCCACTGTAACCCACATGCCTTCACATCGTGATTATAGATAAGCTTCCTCATAGTTTCACAAGCAGTCATTTCAAGAAAAGCTACTGTTGTTTCATTGCTTTTCACTCAAATACCACAACGGTTAAATAAACAAATGTCCCTTCTTAGCACTTGAAGTCTGTACTTTAGATTTTACTGTATTATTCTCCTTGAATCTTGAGTTGTTGTTTTTTTTTTAAAGGAAATACAAATAAAAGTACAAAGTGTACACTGGGGAATTGCACTTCATTAAGATCTCTGCCATTCATGACACTGGCTCAGATGCCCCTTCCTTCTTCATACTTTAAACAATCCCTGGGATGATAGGCAGGCCTCCAGCTTCTGATGTGCTTACTTCAATTTCCCCAGTGCTGCAATAACAGTCTGAGGCCACCATACTCTGCTGCCTGTTCTTCAGGTATCTGGGAACTTTCAGAACCAGTCCACATTGGTGTAACCTAGGTGCTTCCTTCCTAGCATGACCATTGCTCCTTTACAATGGCCTTTATCTGGAAACTTGAGGAAAACACAGAAAAACATTGTAAAGAAACCTTTGTGAGGAATCCAGGCTTTCATAGACCATTATTTACAGCTATGCCAGTTAAGAGACATGGGATCCTGGAGAACTGAGCTAGCTTCTGACTGAGGATTTTACTTGGTAGTACCTTGGAACTTCCAGAAGTGGACTATCTCTCACCCACTTACATGTTTTGCTTAGCTGACTTGACTCCTAACAGACTGTCCCATTAAGATCATTATTGTGCTTACTGAAGCTATTGGTTTCATAAGCACCTCATTGCTTAAGAAACAACACTGGTAAATTTTGCAATTAAATTTTAAAATTGAAGAATATAACAACGAATGGAGTCTAATATGAGTTGGAGACTTCCCAACTACTATCCAGTGTATTATTGCATTTATAATTTTTAATACTTGATTCCAATTTGCACTAGGTTTTGTAATTATCACACTAAAGTCAGTATTGACTGTATCTGTCTCAGTAGGTTTTGCATGCTTGGCTTTGTAAAGAAATAGAATGTTTCACTGCGTTAACTACAAGTGTATTACATAGTATACTTTTATTCATGCAACCAACTAGGAACAAGTTGATGTTTCCTGAAGATAACAAAAAGTTGTGTAGTGCAAACACTTCATTTTTAATACTGAAATATCTGTTTTGGTTATCTGGAAATGTTTAATGAAGTGAGTTTGACACAAGTCTAAACATATATATTATGGAAAAGCTGTGAAAACATGTGCATTATTCTGATCAAGTGAGACTTATGTATGGACTGTTACATGATTTGTCCTGTTGTTATTATCAAGAAAAAGAAACTCCCAGTGGAAGTACATAGTCACTCACAATTCATGTGTGGGACATCATTTGAAAAGGTGTTTGAGCTTCCTTAATGATGTCTGTGTGGTTGTTGATACAGCAGTCAAAAGCCACTATTGGGAAAAGTAGTAATTGTCTTTGGCATGTGTTTATGTCACACTTTTGAGGTGAGGTAAAAAAAAAAAAACGTTAGATGTGTATGACATATTATCATGTGAAGATAAAATAGAGTTAAATAGAAAATACCCTTAGTTAACTGTCATATGGACATACTTCAGAAATGTTAGTGTAGCTTTTAAAAAGAATAGGAGCAGTTATTACACATCACAGAACAATAACCTCCCTTTTTTAATCCTATATTCATGTTTTTGAAAGTGTCTAGTTTCTTTAAGCTGAAATTGAAGTGAGATGCAAGTTTAGCAGTTGATTCAGTGACAGTAAATCATCATATCTGTTGCACATGTGTATGTGTGTATGTTAATAAACGATAATACACATCATGGCAACTGAGAGTTAGTGATAACATTCTCCATTTTAAATTTTTACAAATATAGCAAATATATGCAACCCAAAAAAGCTAGAATGGTGGGAATAATTGGATTTGGAAGTTTCACCCTTCCTGAGTTAATTATCATTAGTATATCAGAAATTTAAGTTTAAAATGAATAGATAATATTTAGGAAGTAAAGTTACCAAATGGATTTCAGAAGAATTAGCGTTGCAGTGAATCCGTTCACAAAAAGACCTTTATATGTCTTTGTTTTTACCAATGAGAACTCTATAGCAGGGTTTAGCATACCAAGTCTTCTCTAAACAAATCTTAAGAGGTGAATAATAACAATAAGGTCTCCTAGAGATTTTCCTAGCACAGCCTCCTCCTGCACATAGATCTAATGTTCAAGTCAATGTTCGAAATACTTCTTTCAATGATCTCATTTGTCCATTTTCATTTTAATGCTCACTGTAATTAGTGCGTGATAATTGTACTTCTTTCAAGTTTAAACATGTTATACAAGTCTATCTGTAGTCCCAAAGAAGAAATACACGTTACAGAGAGTATATGCACTGAAAAAAAAATACGACTTTTGAATTTTTATACAAATGAAATTTTACATGAAAACCTGCTTCTAAAGATCAAATGAGCAAGTAACGTACATTTTCTAATCTTTTAGAATCATGTTCCCATAACGACAATGAAAATCTCATCCAAAAAGGTAAGAAGTATTTTATGTCATGTTCTATGCATAATAAAATATCACAATCAGGAAAGTATGTTTTTTAACTTTTAAAAGACCATTTTTACTATTGACAATCATCCAGAAATGTCTCTAATTTGACATAAATATCACTGTCTGTGAGACAAAATTGAATGTTTTCCATCAAAGCTAACAAGAGCAGACCATATATACATAAGACATTCCAGCTTTTCATATATGCTATATCCTCAACTATGATGGAATTTCCACTATAATAAAAATTCTAAAAGGAGTGAGCATAATATTTGGCCTACTACAATGTCAAGACATCTCCAGAGGCTAGAATGAAAAATTCATCCACTTCTGATTTCCTGCCAATGTCATATCTTTGACATAATCATGCAATGTTATTTCTATGGTTTATATTTGTCTACAAAACACTTACTGTACCTATCTAAAGGATGTGGATTTGGAAAAGGACAGAGTGATGGTTGTTATCAAGAATTAAGCTATTCTAAGTTTCTTAAACATGCAAATATTCAATTATCATGAACAGGAGATGGCAATTCTAATTGTTCATGTCTGTGAAGCACCCTGTTCCAATTCCCAAGCCCCAAGAACTACCTCCCTACAGTTGGAGTGAGTCATCATTACATTTATTTAAGCTCAACTTGACTATGAATTACAGGGAAGTTGCTTAACTTCCCTGACCTCAGTTTCTACATCTAGAAAGCAATGCCTTTCTCACAAACGATGTATGTAAATGTCCTAGAATAAAGTGGCACCAGCTAGTGCTGTCTCTAAGAACCTTGGATTCTATTTTTCTTGGAACAGAGACTAAAGATTTTAGATGTTTGAACAACTGACTTTATAATTGCAGCGCTCTTTGGCTTATTTAACATATTAGACATGATATGGTACTCATGGTCAGACTTCTGATCTTTTCACTTGACTGAGTTTTATGAGCATAAATAAATATGACATAATGGAGTTAAAGATCTCATCTGTAAAAATGTTTGCATGGTGCATAACAAACATTTTCCCAAGTAACAAGAAGCCATTTGTCATTTTGCTAATGTCCTATCAAGCTGATCTCACGTCAGAATTGTCTTTGAAGCCAGCAGGGAAGCATTTTGTTTATGATGGCCTAATGGAAAGATAGAATATAGAAGCAAGATTCAAAGTCTTCACAGTCATTTGTGTGGCATCGTAGTCATATATAAAATATATGTCTCAACATTGTTATGGGTCATTCGTTACGTTGCTTTTCAACTTCTTATACTACAGATGGTTTTAAAATCTTTCAGTGAAGCAGTGAATGTCACATCTAGGGTAATGACTTGATTTCCTGAATATCTTTGGCTTTGCTACATACTTTATTACTTTCTGAGGTGTCAAGACTACAATTTGTGAAGACAATGTGATACCTGTTCAGTTATGAATTTGTTACCTTACCTAGTACTCAAATTATGGTTATATTAGACACAATAAGCTGACATATGATTCCTGTGATTGGAACTGAAACTTACAGATTGATAGCTTGTTCATTGATATTTTCCTCTTCTAGAAATCCATATTCATTGACAATTCACTTCTGAGCATTCTAATATCCCTGGGACACTCATCTCATAGAAGAATACTACAACACATGAGCTCATACAATATATAAAATTCTCAAATAATTAGGAAGATGTGACTTTAAAAATTTCTCTATGTCTTACAAATTAAGTGGATAAACTATTTTTTAATCTATTAGGGTAATAGAAATTTTGAATCATGTTTAAGTATAAACCTCTATATGAGGGCTGATCAGATGGCTTTATTAAATAGCAAGAGGTGACTATGGGCACTACTGTACCACAAAAGGGAGAGGAGCATGGCTGGAAAGCCATCAATTCCCACCATATCTCCAGGTGCAGTAACTTACTCAAAGGATTATTGCATAGTGTGATACAGAAGGTTACGCAATATCCTCCTCTAGCCTCTACACAAGAACACAGGCGCATGCATACACTGATGTGTGTGTGTGTGTGTGTGTGTGTGTGTCACATACATACACATCCAATCACAAATGCCCACACATAACAAACAAATACATTTTCTAAATAATCTAAAAATAGTTTTAATAAGCTATCTGTTATTTTCAAAGATGTGTATCCAAATGTTTTCATTTTAAAAATGAATAATTATCTAGAACATTTTTTCTTCTGAAAAAAAATGCCTTCTATTTCAAAATTAACTTGTGCTGCTGGAGTTGAAGATTGTAAAATCTTCCTTGTCATTTGCAAAGAGACAGCAGTCAAAGGAAAAAGAAAACATTGTAATTTAAATCTGCAATAAACGGGTCAAATCTTAGAGAACAATGGACTCCAATGTTTAAAACAGATTGCCATTCTACTTGCTACACTTTGAGGCTTTTTTTTTCTTTAAACAGAAAGTGGTAATGTTATAGGCATATTAATGGAGGAAAATTCTATTTACTTTGGCTGTATCTTCTTTGCTTCTTGTTTTGAGTCTGTTTCTAAATGAATCCATCGGTTTGTGGCTATATATTATAATGTGTTCCTGCTGAAAGTCTTTTAACTTTTACATCTGAAATAAATCACCTTGATTCTTCTTACAGCAACAGTTGTACGTGAGCTCCAATGAGGGGGTTTCCCAAGTCTCTCTGCATCGCTGCCATATCTACGGCACAGCCTGTGCAGACTGCTGCCTGGCACGGGATCCATACTGTGCCTGGGACGGCCACTCTTGCTCCAGGTTCTACCCGACTGGGAAGCGGTAAGTGCCAAACATGCAAGTGAAAATCCAGATGTACTCCACAGGGCAGAGCAGACATGGATAGGTTCTATGGCCAGTTTCATTTTAAAAGACAGTGCAAAATGAAGACATGTTTGCCTTGGCATCCAGCCTTTCAGGGAAAGAGATGACATACTTTATAATTTGAGATTCTCTTCTTCTTCATGGAAGAGATCTAAGACCCATCAAATAGAGGAGGTGGCCTTTTAAACTCCAGTCTTCATACTATCTAATGTGTGGCTCTATTTTGTCCACTGTATGTCACCGTAGCCTTAACCCTCATACTGGTAGTATGACCTATATTATCCTACAACAAAGTTGTTGAACTTCGTATAGTTAGTAAATTATACCAATTAATTTCAAAAGTTAGTGTTTTAAAGAGAACTACATATACTATTGTAGCTACAAGAACATTGTTCTAGCAATGTTACCCACTTGGTTTGTTTTCCAAACCTAGCTGGACATGCTTCTTCCTATCTGAGCAGTCATTGCATAATTTCTGGATAGTATAAGCATTCTAAGTGAGGGTACCTGAGTCCGAGAAAAATTAAAGTCAAGTTGGAAGGTATTTCCAGTGGAAAGACTGATCAGATAGCAATGGACATACACAACTCAGACATAGTTGAGATCCTAAATATTTGCAATAATTTTTGTGATTATAAGTGAGACCATCAATCCTGTTAAAGTTAAGGACAGTGGAAGAAGCATATAATGGCAGTCTTAAGAACCACCATTGAACTGTCCAGAAAAGCATTGTAGGCTTTTAACTCTTCATTATATTTTTATTATTTAAACCCATTTGTAATTTTAAATATATTTTGATCATATCTCTCACCCCCCCAAGTCCTCTCAGATCTTCCATTCCACCCACCCAACTTTAAGTTTTTTCTCCAAAAACAAAAACTCAATACTATAAAACCATCCAAAACCAAGAATATAAAATAAAGCCATGCCCTAAAAGAAAACAAACAAACTATAACTAAATGAATGCACACACACACACACACTCACACACACACACAAATACACACATGCAAAAACAAACAATTTTGGAGACCATGATAGATGACTTCTAGGCTGTATGAGGACCATGCTTCTGTAATTTCATATCAAGGGCATCTTGTCCCTTTCTGTCTGTTAATTCACCAAATATTTATCTTGAAACAAATCCTTTTCATGCACTGTTGTAGAAAAAATATCTACAAAATATGAAAAATGGTAACAAAAATAAAAAAATCTGAGTTTGGATATAAAATGGTCACAAGAGAGAAGATAGATCCCAGATAGAGAAGCTGCCAGTATGTCAAATAATCACAAGGTCTCTGCATGGGAAAGTGAAATGAGGGTTATATTCCTAGTGAAACACCTTCAGAAAGGGCGAGAGGATGGTCAGAGAGGGCTATGGTTGGCACAGTAAAGTGAAACCAGAACAATTATGTGAGAATGGCAGTACCAAGTCATCCACTAAGGACTAGCACTCTGAAGGTGTGCTAGTGAACATTCAAGAGAATGCACCAAGGATCACGATAGGACTCGGTAGCCTATGAAAGGAGAAGAAGTCTAGAAAGAGAGAAGTTTGCAATGCCAGGTAATGAGGACTGTATTAGTAATTTATCATAACTCAGTCTTGTTGTTTAGAATGGAAGCAAAGACAACTGTTGGACTTAAGGCAATATACTAACACCATCTGACTCTTGGGTCTCAACACTAGCTGGGTGTTGCTTTCCTTGGAGCAATGGCCTGGGAAGCAGTCAGAACAGAGAAGGAGGACAAAGGATCCAGAGGAGGTTATAATCTAGGTCACAGGAGTGTTTTTCATGGGGATGGCAGTGGCAGAGATACCAAAAGAGTGCTCTGAGTGTGTACCCTCGAAGTATTCGACATGAAAGATTAGAAGACTAGAGAAGTAAATTCCCAGATTCTGAAAAGCAGAGCACTAGGAAGCACATATTGTCTGAGTTAACCCTGTGAAAGGTAAGAGGGAGAAAGAAGCAGTTAAACCGCATAGCTCTATGAGCCACTCCAGCAAGACTGTCGAGTAGAGAAAGAAGTGTGGATCTGGAGTAGAGAGGAGTGGCCTGGACGGGAGGAGGTTGAAGAAGACTCTGTCTTGAACCAGAAGTCTTGCTTTCTCCTCAGATACTCAGGGTTCTCCCGTATTTGTCACAGAAGTTGGCCAGGATGTCCTTCATCTCTATCAACTTTCCTTCCCAAGCAATTGTTTTTATTTGTACTGGCCAAAGAGATTAGAACCTGGGACAAGGCATGTGAGGGACTCAAATTTCAAGCATACCCTCAAATAATTTTGATTTTTGTAGCTACCAGTAGATTTTTCAACAATATTTGTCTTGTAGTTATAATATAATAAACACAGTATTTTGAAAGTGTCCCCACAGCTTTTTCCAGATGATACCTTCTACCTTGTAAGAGCTGTAGAGCTAAGCACAGTGTCTCTAATACCAGGGTTAGAGTTCCCGACCTTTCAACCAGATTTAATGCTTGACAAAGCTCGTACACAATACTTTCTAAAGAGCAAAGTGAACTGGGAATTATAAATTGGTTATAAGCGACAGTGAATATGTAAATATATGTGCGTGTATCTTACATTGATTGTTCTTCCCATTGTGCCAAGTATTAAAACCTACATGCTGGGCTGGAAAATAAAGTATCAACTATTTAAGTAATTGTTTTGAGCATCTCAAATTCTACCACAAAGACCTATGAAATGCAAAACATGGGGGGGGG